AGTTTGTTACTGACAAATTTGACAGTTCTCATCCATTCCATCTGTTTTCGCAGATTCCAAGCACTTTTATGCCATGTCTTCTTATTCTTTAGGCTACATGGACAGCCTTACCAGCCAGCCTCGTACATTGTGATGGACATTCCACGTCCTCGTTCTTATTCTTGCTTTCATCGAGGGAAGACACATCGGCTAAGCGGCTTCACAAAGACTTTCATCAGCCCACTGTATCGTTTCGCCTCTCCGATTCGAGCGAAGAATAGGATCATTCTTTGAATGTTTAATATATTTTTGTGCGTTGAAGTTTCTGTAGCAGTTTGGTTGTTTTGTGGTGGAGAGTCGCTAACCCCACGCTGATTCCTCCCGCTTTACCCGGCTTTCGGACCAGCTAGAAAACTAGCAAGCCAGTTAACTAGGCGAGATAATGTTGTTTACAATGCACATCTAATTCTGTTTTCCGTTCTTATGGATAATTCTTTGAGTTTTTACGCTAGACAAATAAAAACTGTCTTTTCAATTATATCGAGTTTCGGTGTAGGTGGTTTTTCCTTTGCATATTTAATGTGAACTTCCGAGGAAATCCATTTTCGACCAGGTTCTTTTTGATGACTGCGAGTTCCATTTCAATCTTATCTTCTGAACACAACGCCCTATCTCTGCTAAAGAGCGTTTTCACCAGGCTCTGTTTTTAGCGGATGGGGCAGAAACTGTGATAATTCAAGTATTGGCCAGTCCACGTTTCTTTCATGTAGATAAATTTTTCAATTGTCCCATCATCTCTTGATGCCTAGGAAGTGGAAATGGTTGTTGCGTTCATGGTACATTGTAAATGCTATGTGAGCGTGAGCCTTTTTGATGTTTCCGAACATGGTGGATGTCTGTCCGATATTACTGCAAACCACAAACGTGTCATCAACATACCTGCGGTAATAGGTGGTCCTCTCTATTTCCGGCTATATTCGAGTATGTTCAAGATGAGCCATGAATACATTCACAAGAACAGGACCCAGAGGTGAACCCATAGCCACCCTGTCAAATTGCAGGCACAGCTGGTTGTTGAATCGGAACTAGGTGTTGTTTGCACAAAGAAGTAGTAATTTTCGTCGCTTCTTTTCACGAAGAGGAAATAGTTTGGATTGCTGGCATATAATTCTCACTGTCTCTTCAATAGGTATGCCAGTAAACAGCGAACGAAAATCGTATGATACGAGAAATTTGTCTGGAATATTCGGTTGGTCTAATTCACAACCCTCCACTGAATGTCGGAAGTGGCGTATAGCACAATACATAGGCAGAAGTTCTCTGCCGAATGTGCTGTACTTGGTTTGCACCAATCGTAGACGCCTCGAAATAAAGGCGAGTGGTCACCACTGTTTTTTGACTAGTTGTTGCGGAACTGCACCGATTGCAGTGTTTGATGCATCAACGGAGATACTTAAGGTGCTGTTGGATTTTGATACATAAGAAGGGTGGCATCCGTGATAACTTTTTAACCTGAGTGGAAGCATTTTGAGCAGACGCGTCAAGTTCGATGGACTTGTTATTCCTTAGAAGAAGGTCTCTTAGTGGCTGAATCGGGCAAGCAAAGTTGGAAATAAGGCGTCAGTAATAACTTATCAAGCCGTTAACAGTGAGAAGATTGTTCACCGTCCTTGGCTCCGGAAAGTTAACAATCGCCTCAAATTTGCTAGCCAGAGGGTGGGTACCCTTGCAGTCAGCGGTGTGGCCAAGAAAGTCGAGTGATTCTACTCTTATCTGATGCTTTTGTACATTAATGGCAACACCATGTTGGCGTAAGATTTCGAATGCCAAGTCCAAGTGTCTAAGGTGAATTTCCTTGTCTGGACTGGCTGTGAGTCAGTCGTCTAAGGATGCGTATACGAAGTCGAGACCGCGAAATACTCCATCGATGAGGCGTTGGAATGTTTGTGCTGCATTCCGGAGGCCGGTTGGCATACGTAGAAATTCAAAAGGTTCGAAGGCGTAATGATAGCCATCTTCGAAATATCTTCTGATGCCATAATTGTTTGGTTGTGCAATTTAACCAAGTCTATTTTCGAGAATATAGTTGCCCCAGATAATGTTGTCGTCAAGTTGTGTATGTGAGGCAGTAGATAGTAATCAGGGGTTGTTCTGGTGTTCACTCGCCGGTAATCACCAGTTTGTCGCCTATCGTTGCTATCTTTTTCGGTACCATATGGAGTAGATATGTCCATGGGCTATTCGATGGCAGAATGATGCCACGGGTGAGCATATGGTCGAATCCATTTCTAGATAGCCGCAGTATGTCAGGAGCAAGTCCCTGTGCTTTAGATGTCACGGGTTGTCCTGAAGTTGTGATGTGGTGCATAACATTGCTGGTTATGCACGGAAAATCACTGGATGGGCAATCAAGTTCCGGGTTCTTGTCAACAGTCAGCTGAAAAATTTGATGAAAGATCACCTTTTTAAGAACCTTTGAGACTGTGAATTGCTAACATTTTCTGAATTACTTCTAATATTTGTGCAAACCGACTAGCCAGGTTTTGGCATGGTGTTTTCACTACTGACATTATAAATCTCAATGTTATATCAGGTTTGTGGACTTTGGTTTGACCAGACATGGACAATGGGCGTGAAACCCTTGTTTTGAGGTCATTATAGCTTCTGTTATCGATTAGTCCTTCTTTAGGCAGTTCCTTGAGGGGCCTGTATTTTTTGTTTTCGAAGGCTGTTGTTGCGTTGCTTTTTGACCCCTCCACTTGGAATCTCATCCTATCGGGGTTGTCATTTGGAAGACGTAGTCTTGCCGGTTCATTATTACGACACCAGAACTCTTGACTGCTTTGAGAATAACGATCGTCTTAGAAGAAAATGAGACCTTAAGGGGGCGCACCGAGAGTATCAACTGCTAACAGCAGTGTGTTATATTTGAGTTTAGGCTTGAATGATAGACAAGTCAAGTATAGATAAGGGGATATCTACGCAAGCTGTCGCTGTTTTGTTCGCACAGACAAATTAAACGACTATTCTCTGAGCCAAGTTGGAGTTTGGTTTAAGACGAATTACTTGTTGATAATGAACGTCGTTTTATTCAAAATTACGATTTTATAGCTGAAACCTACTCCACTAATCCAAGTGCATTTCATGACCCCCATAAACATAATCCCCTTGGTTAATTGCTGTTTTCTTAAACCAACCACTTTTAACCCTATCCATAGGTTCCAAATCTGATAATTGGTCGTATAAGTACTCAAACTGTGTTTATGTATCAAATCAATACTCAGTAATCCTTATACTTATTCTGCTAGTTGCTGTGCCCTTTGAATGCAGAACTGTTGCATTAATTCATGAGAAAGTCATATACAATTGCAGCTGCAGTAGATGAAATACTCGGAAAGAGTCTCTCCTCTGTGTTTTATTAAATACGATAGGGCAGCCTCTAAGAATGACTTTCTCGGTAACAAAATTCGCATCACCGAGTTGGCGCTTCTTAATAGCGAATAACTGAGTCTGCTTCTTCAGATAAACGAATTACTCCACTCCATCACTACTCCTTCAGATATCTTACCTCAGGTGTTTTTATCAAGTCCTTTGCATGCCCAAGCCTCAGTCAAAAGACGTAAGTGAAATAACATTGGAAGAATGTGAAGTAACTCTTCGGACTATTTTGTTTAATTTCGCCATAACAGCTGGAATGTTTAGTGCACATTTTCCTGCAATCTCCAGTGAAGTTAGAATTCAACCATCTGGAAGGCATCCTTCATGTAGCTACTATGTTATGGGACGAAAGGAATGTAGGAGTAGGAGAGAGAGACATAGACCTGAATACACTACCTACTAGTTTTTAGAACTGAAGCAGCTCGAGAAGGATTCTATAGGAACGCCCAAAGGTTGTAATTGTAGTCCTTAAGCCAATGAACATATTACCAAATGGGTGGTTTCACTCACCCATTTACTCATTCTGTAGTTGAGAAAGCCATAAACCTTATTCAAACATCGTCTGAATAAAAAATTAGGATTTCTTTCCATTAAGTCCATTGCATAACTCGCATAAACATAATGCCACTAGGCTGTTTACTGTTACAATCAGGTTACGAAATTCCATTTATTGCGAATCAATGGCCGCCGAACTTAAGCTTTATAGCTGAAAATCGATCACAGTAATGCCGATTTATTCAGTCAACACCGCTTTCAGCACAAGCAAACACTGATTATGCTCCCGTCCACCATACTCCTATTAATTCTTACATTGATTTATTTTCGATTGATATTATGACAAGTATAACAACTTGATAATAATAATAACAATAACTCTATTCTATGCACTACAGAACTATCGGCGTCCATTATTCTAAAATACTCATTCCGCGGGGATTTCGAAATATAATAACAATTGACTGCATGCCATTTCTCACAGTACTGTTCAACACTAAAACCCTCCACGACATTTATTTTCCTTTCCTGCCAAAAGAAGCAAGTTGGAGTGTTTCGGACCGCTTGTATCTGCATGACACCATATACAGACATACTTCAATGTCAGATGACGCAACGTATGGACATTATGTTGGCTAGTTATTTATTTATTGTCTCCTATAGAGGAGTCTCTTATGGTGGAAGTGGGTAACTGTTCTTATCCTCTAAGCTAACCAGTGAGGAGAGGTGACCATATGTAGGATTGGCCTCATTTGTATGTCCTTGTGTAGTTTTGCCTGTCGATATTTGAAAAGCATGCGGGATTCTTTCGCTCTTAGTTTACTGTAGGTTTCATTGTCAATCAGTTTCCCTTTTACGACTCACTCCCCTCAGGTCCTTTGTAATATATTTCTCAATCTTTTCTGCCATATCTTAATCGTCCCTTTTAAATCGTGACTTAGCACTTGATTCATCTTAGAGATGTTGTCATAAGTTACAAGCACGCCTCTGTGAATGCCGGAAACAACATACATCTGCATCTCTTTCGTATGTTGACTATCTTCAAAAATAATATCCCCATTCGCTTGAATGAAACTGAAATGAATTCACTTTGTTGTGAGGTTGTATTTCATCAATTTTAAGTAATACACAAACACATTGGACTAAAAGTTTGCACCCGAACCTTTAGAAAATCTAAACCATTTGACAATAATAAAGCACAGTTTGAATACATTCCTGAATACAAGATAATAATTTTTCAGGTTTGAAACGAAAACAGTTAAGACTAAAAAGAAACAATTAGCATTTAATCATTTGTTTCAAAAGTGGAAAACACAAGAGAACACAAAAAAGATAATGAAAGACATTCTGGCATTAAGAGATAGCAAATGTTTCAAGTGTTTTTTTTCAGTGCGAAAATTCAAGCCTTGTTACACGTCAATAAGTCGATTTTTTGTCATCGGAAGTATCTGTATGCAGAAGAAAAAAACAGTAGACAAAATAAATTAACACTAATGAAAACACATCACAGCAAATAAAGAAAGTTTTCTTGTAAAATGAGTTTCGATGGTTTGATATTATTTTGGTTCAGTGGACATATCACAATGTGGAAAATTGTATTATTTACTGGATAACGTTTCGATAACGAATTTTTCTTCGGAATCATATCGATCTTGACAACAATACTTCGAAACTTGATATCAGTGGCGTCAAACTAGACATCGAAGTTAACACAGTGCTACGAGACACCACGCTTCCATACCTGAAGCAATAAAACTGAGCCATTGTGTTTACGAAAAATATAGAGAAATATTACAGGATGGAAATAGATAAAGGATGAGTGTAATGCGATATCGTTGTCAATGCTGACCACCCCATAATTTAAAGCTGACAAACATAAATTTTGCACACTACTACGAAACATGAACTGTTCTCAATGCCAGCTTAAGGTAAAGGTTTGGAATACTACATTATTGTTTTATCGACTAGTTATGTGGTTAGGTAGCATGTCTTGACCGGATCATATTTAGCTTTTTCTTCAACTAAATACAGTAGGATGCAGTAACCTGTGCACAGGACGCTTGATGTCTCACAGACCATTTGGACATTCTAATAAGTGCATAAATGATCAATGGTCGCATTCGAAACCAAAATTACGTTACAATACAAGGAACTGGACTAGCACAAAGTAATGAAAAGTTCGTACATTCCTACATTGATGAGAAAATAATGTCAATGAAAATAATTTCTTTTTAAAAACTTGAAAGCATAAATTTCATGAATAAGAAGAAATTCACCCACCATTGTAACAGTACCGCCAGCTATTGATTCACCGCCCACACGAAGCATAAACCTCCCAAGAGCTTTACACTTTTCGTATGTTTCTACACAGATTGGTCTTTCGAACGTCAACACTACATCAGCTGTACAGTTCCCCAAAAGACATCTAAAAAAGGTCTGACAGTATTATATCCAGAAAAGCGTTCACACATTAGCGGATGAAAAACTCTGAAAATCAGGGGCGAATACTAGAACAAGAGCAGTTTTTCACGAAAGTCTTACAAAAAAGTTGTAACTTTGAAGTACAACCAGTCTAGTCAGGTACGTAAACTGTCGATTCGCAACTAACAAATTAAATTATATTACCAAACGTATAGGCTATAAAATCCAGACAAAAACAAAACACTTTGTTTATTATGTCGACGAACACTAACTCGATAAACTATCGTGAAGAAGCCTATCTGTTCAGAAACACTGATTTCAACAGTCCATCAATAACCGTGAATAGCTCAGGTTCCCAAAATATCCTGATTTGTACACATGGTATGACCTCTAACACATTTCAGTGATTGCACCAGGAAACAAGTTGTTCGATAGACGCGAACTAGCTTAGCTGCAGGATAGGCTATGGCTAGTGATGTACTCAGCCTTCTGTTGATCATCGCTGCAATGTTTTCACCTTTGTAGTCAAGCTGAACGTAGACTGGCTTTTTTACCCACTGTGATTTGTTTTAAATTTGTGACTTCAGATCTTCCATACTTGTTGATGAACCTTTGAGGATACCCATTTCTCTTCAATATCTTTTCAAGGAACTCAAACTCCTCCTCTAGTTTCGCCATAGAGCATATTCTCCTCGCTCTATAGTTCAGAGTCTTGACTAGACCACGTTTAAAGCTATTTGGAAAAAAGCTACTAAAATGCAAACATTGTCCTTTCCATGTGGGCTTTCGATAAATTGACTTTTGAAGACTACCGCCTTCTAGGCGTTCCATGGTGATGTCGAGGAAGTGAAACTTTCCGTCACTTTCATGTTCCACAGTGAACTCAATATTGGCGTGTGCACCATTGAATTATCTTAGTAAGTGTGAAGCATGACTTTCATTTTTGCACACTATAAATGTGTCATCAACATAACAACAGTAGGAAGATGTTTCGTCGATTGCATGCTTCAACTTTGTTCTTTCAAGGTTTGGCAGTTAACGAGAAGGCAACGAAATACAAGATGGTACCATTTTATTCTGCTAAAACTGTAGTTCTTGTTTTGTTCAAATTCATTAAGGGGAACAAATGTATGAAGTTTCTATCAATATTATTGATTCGATGTTATTTAAACATTATTGTCGTTCATAACACTAATTCATTCATTCACTATAATGTATGTTTAAATGTAGAGCCTGATGATGAATTTATCAAAAGGGTACTCTTTGTTCAGTAACTATTCTTTTGAAAATATCTTTTCGTTGATGATGAAAATATAGCTTCATTTTTGTCAGCACAAATATCAAATGTACATGGTGTAACCAGAGACCAAGCTGACTTTTTAATGCCACCTGATGGATATCAGATATCACCTTCGCTGTATTATCAATAGCATTTATGCAAAACGTCGAATGCATAACTATACCCTAAGAGCAGTTGTGATCTAGAGTTGTGACATCTGACTTTCTCGAAAATGCATTTTCGATAACTATCCAAATTTGAAAAACAGCATGATCATAAGATTTCCGACACCTGAAAGGACTGTTATTTAATAAATGATTTAGGTATGAAACACTCATTCTAAAGAATTGGAATTGTGTTAGGCATAGTATCCAGGCGGGTTCGCCACACTCCTGGATAATTGCATGAAGTTGTATCATGTAAGGAGGTAGTCCTGCCAAAATCAGTAACAATCACCGACGATTTCAATAAGTTCTCTGTTTTAAAAGTAGTGCTAAACACTTATTTGTATTAGAGTGATCATCCACAAAACGGCTGAATTGCATAAGAAGTACATATCTTCGATCTAAGCACCTTGTTTACGTCTTGACTTGAAGTAAAACTCAGTATTGTCTAATGAATTTTATGTTGGGAAAATTATGTAATTAGTCTTGGAATGCATTTTACACAACTAATGATTTTACTGTTCTGACATCTTTATCCCTTCATAATATTAATGTATTACACATTTTACATCACATCGTAGAGTCTTTATGTTAATGCAAATAATGACTGTGAGTTCCTTAGACAGAAAACAGGTAATCGAGCCTTCGTGTTTCAGCACACACACACACACACAGATAGTGAAAAGACTGACAGTTACATAGCACAAAAATAACAGTATACAAATAACTAACCTTGGCTTTTTAACAGTCTTCTCCACTTTATTTTCTTTGTGAGTCATAGACTTCAGTTTAGTAATATTGGCTGCTACACTAGTACAATTGTAATAGTATATTACCTAAAAGTAGTAATAATGATGATATCATAATTACAAACCCCATAAGAACTTCTAATGACCACACACACGACCGAAAGCTGCTACCTAGACGTGGTGGTCGGGCTTGAACACCGCAATGATCTATTCAAGCTATACTGGCTGAGACTTATGTCTCTTGAGGTCCTACCATGCCAGGAAGGTTGTTTGGATAGCGGTTAAACAAAAAGCAGCTACCAAATCCAACATCGTGACCAATACAAAATCACAAAATTTCATGCCGGATCGGCCGTGGCCCGGATTAACAACGACCGCGCTTCCTGCTGCCGTGTCACAGGGCAGGAGTGATAAGTATGCTACTGAGGCACACCAAACAAAAGAGAACAAACAAAAACAGGCCGCGTGTGACCGGCCTCAAGCAGTTGTCCCCTGGGCTCTGCGGTCACGCAACCAACTTCCACGGTGTGGGCAGCCGGGAAGTAACAATCGCCCACACAATCCGAAACGCACTATATCAACTTGCCTTCCTTCCACTGATGCAACTCCTCGACTTGATAGCTTTCCACTTCCTCTCCACTCTGCATCCACCAAAAACGATGGAAGCCAAAAAACCACCACCGATAGCCTCTTAAAACCGCGCCACCAATTTCATATAGGAGCTTTTAATGTTAGGACACTTTGCCAAATAGGACAACAAGCATCACTAGCTAAGACCCTAGCATCCCGAGCCATTGATGTATATTGTGTTTCAGAAACACGCATACAAGACCCAAGTGTGGTTATTCACCTAACCCCACCTGGCCAACAGGATGAATCTTCAAAATTCACCTTGAGGGTGTCAGGAGATGCCACAGCCAGCTCACGAGGACTAGCTGGCGTAGGGATAGTTTTGAGTACTAGGGCAGAAAAGACATTACTTGACTGGATCCCAGTAGATAGCCGAATGTGTGCTGTCCGTCTGAACGGGTCAGCAAAAAGGAGAAAGGACTGCACTACTCGCCGATGCCTTTTCGTAATCTCCGCCTACGCCCCCCCCCCACTGACTGCAGTTCAGATGAAACGAAGGATGAGTTCTACCAAAAGCTGTCTAATTTGCTGCGAAAGGCTAAACGCTCAGACATAGTCGTTCTAGCTGGTGACTTTAATACTCAAGTAGGGAAATTGTGTCAATCTGAGAAGGATGTCGGTGGCACCTATGGAGTCCCGTGCCAGCGAACCGACAACGGTGACCGTCAGAGATTTCGTCAGAGATCAACCCGTTGGCACTGGCTGATGGTACTTCCCAAATAAGTGAAGCGGTCAACGTCCTCTACTACTTCACTTCCTATTTTTAAACTAGGCATCGATGTAGTCCAGTCCTGTAACATCATCTTGCATTTGGTGGGAGCGAATCGCATGCCAAACATTCGTAGATTTAGGCTCAAGGTGTTTAGAAGACTCTGCATTTCGTCAGCGTCTTCGCCTAGAAGGACTATATCGTCTGCATATTCCAAGTAAACGAGATTATTCCCTGGTAGCAAGTCAATCCCTGAGTTTAATAAGGTAAGTAATGTTGACGTTAGGCGTAGAGTGTTGGGTAAAGAGGGAAAATCAATCGACGAGGCTATAAAGTTACATAGACTAAGATGGCTAGGTCACGTGCTGCGCATGCCTAACCACCGCCTCCCCCGACGGGCATTGCTAGCTGAAATAGATGCGGGTTGGAAAAGAGCCAGTGGTGGCCAAACAAAACCATGGCCTCATCAATCCATGAAATCCTTGACAGTTAAACTGAGTCAGGTAGGGAGATGCAGACTCCCGGGTTGGGGCCCTCGGGACTGGCTCTACGAATCAATGGCTGGAGACAATAGGTGACATGGCTCAAAATCGTTGTCAATGGCCAGCGCAGATGTATTCAGTCTCTGTAATCTTTCATATTCCTTTCTACCATTACCCATTCCGTTTCACTCTTATACTTGTCAGACTGTATTGATTCTCTTCATTCATCTTCTTGTCTACCTCTGTGTGCTATTTGGAACGTGGCAACTCGAACAGCTGCACTTCGGTGCCAAGTTCTATGTTGAATCCAGACAGACAGACAGACAATCCCTGAGTCGCTGAAGTCACTTAGGGTTAAGTCCATTAACACATCTATGATGAAGTTGAATAGAAAAGGGGATAATGGGCATCCTTGACGGACACCACTAGTCGTCACCAGTTGAGATGACAGCTCGCCGTAAGCCATCACCTGGCTGTATGACTACGAGTAGAGTGCCTTAATCAGTGCAATATATTTTCTCGGAATTCCCTTTACAGCCAAGCATCTCCAGAGAACTTCTCGATCGACAGAGTCGAATGCTGCCTTTAGGTCAAGAAATGTAATGACTGTTGGACGCCGGTAGGAATGCCTATGTTCTAGAATCTGTCGGAGGGTGAAGATATGATCAATACACCCTCTTCCTGGTCTAAAGCCTGCCTGGCTCTCTCGTGTTTGTGCCTCCCGAGCACCACTCAGTCTACGCATGATTATTGAGCCTAAGACTTTAGATACTATATTAGTCAAGCTAATCCCTCTGTGATTATCACAGGAAGACTTGTCTCCCTTCTTGTATATGGGGATAATCAGTGACTTACACCAACCCGATGGGACTTCTTCTGATTCCCAGACGCTGCCTAGTACCTCAGTTAATGCAGACAGTAAGCTGTCTCCACCGTACTTAAATACCTCTGGAGTCATTCCATCAGGTCCCGCTGCTTTGCCTAGTTTCAGATTGGTGACAGCTTTAGTAACCTCAGTTAGGGATGGAGGACCTGTGTCTATATCCCATTCAGGGAGGTGTTGGATGTTCGGAAGGTTGAGCGCGGCTGTGGGCCAATTAAACTGCTCCTCATAATGCTCTTTCCAGCCTTCCAGTCGTCTATCCTGGGAGCTAATTATAGTGCCATTTTTCTCCGAGATTGTTTCACTTATTACTCGCCTTTTATCACCCGTTTCCCTGATGAGCCTAAATAGTTGCCTGGTGTTGCCTATCACAAATGCCTTTTCCATCTCTTTCGCTTTTGTCACCCACCACTGTTCACGGTCCTTGCGGAGACTTTTCGTAAGTTTCCTTTTGTGCAGCTTTCGCTCCTCATTGAATTCGGAGCTCGCCGGAATAAGTCTTCTAGCATCTATCAGTTCGGATGAGGCGGTGGAGATCCAGTGGTTTTTACTCACCTTTGGGTTTACCTTATTCACAGCTTTTACAGCTGTATCTATGGCTGCCTGGATATTTTTCCAAGCTTCTTCAGGGTGAGCACAGCTGTCGAACACAGATATGTGTTTAGCTAGTTCTTCCTCAAATACGGATTTAGTTTCCTGATCGAGCTGGGGACGTGATGGTTTTACCGCCAGCTGTTTCCTACGTCCGTTCAGTCGTAAGCACACCCGAGCGCGGACCAGTGCATGGTCGGTATCTACACACGTGTTCCAGAAGGAGCGACAATCTCCTACCGACCCACGCCAACGATAGCTTATTGCTATGTGGTCTATTTGTGTCCAGCGTTGGTTTGATGAAGGGGGTCTCCAAGTCAAACAGTGTCTCTCCTTGTGTTTGAAGTTAGTGCTTACAAGAAACAAATGATTATCAGAGCAGAACTGTAGGAGACGGTCACCGTTGTCGGTTCGCTGGCACGGGACTCCATAGGTGCCACCGACATCCTTCTCAGATTGACACAATTTCCCTACTTGAGCGTTAAAGTCACCAGCTAGAACGACTATGTCTGAGCGTTTAGCCTTTCGCACCAAACTAGACAGCTTTTGGTAGAACTCATCCTTCGTTTCATCTGAACTGCAGTCAGTGGGGGCGTAGGCGGAGATTACGAAAAGGCATCGGCGAGTAGTGCAGTCCTTTCTCCTTTTTACTGATCCGTTCAGACGGACAGCACACATTCGGCTATCTACCGGGATCCAGTCAAGCAATGTCTTTTCTGCCCTAGTACTCAAAGCTATCCCTACGCCAGCTAATCCTCGTGAACTAGCTGTGGCATCTCCTGACACCCTCAAGGTGAATTTTGCAGATTCAACCTGTTGGCCAGGTGGGGTTAGGTGAATAACCACACTTGGGTCTTGTATGCGTGTTTCTGAAACACAATATACATCAATGGCTCGGGATGCCAGGGTCTTGGCTAGTGATGCTTGTTGTCCTATTTGGCAAAGTGTCCTAACATTAAAAGCTCCTATATGAAATTGGTGGCGCGGCTTTAAGAGGCTGTCGGTGGTGGTTTTTTGGCTTCCATCGTTTTTAGTGGACGCAGAGTGGAGAGGAAGTGGAGAGCTATCAAGTCGAGGAGTTGCATCAGTGGAAGGAAGGCAAGTTGATATAGTGCGTTTCGGATTGTGTGGGCGATTGTTACTTCCCGACTGCCCACACCGTGGAAGTTGGTTGCGTGACCGCAGAGCCCAGGGGACAACTGCTTGAGGCCGGTCACACGCGGCCTGTTTTTGTTTGTTCTCTTTTGTTTGGTGTGCCTCAGTAGCATACTTATCACTCCTGCCCTGTGACACGGCAGCAGGAAGCGCGGTCGTTGTTAATCCGGGCCACGGCCGATCCGGCATGAAATTTTGTGATTTTGTATTGGTCATGATGTTGGATTTGGTAGCTGCTTTTTGTTTAACCGCTATCCAAACAACCTTCCTGGCATGGTAGGACCTCAAGAGACATAAGTCTCAGCCAGTATAGCTTGAATAGATCATTGCGGTGTTTAAGCCCGACCACCACGTCAAGGTAGCAGCTTTAGTAATTAGTAATCAACTAATGAAATTGACAGTAATCTGTGTTCACTCCCATCTTTAATGACTCTGTAAGTCAAGGCTTCCATTGACGTTCTCGGAGTTGTGATTCTAGTACTGAATGAAGTTCAAAATTCCTAATCAATACCAACACCAAGACATAATTGTAATATATAAAATGCAAAACTTGTTTTCTGTACAAAGGTTTTCATGAGTTGATTGATAAAAACTTTCTCCTCAAAGTTACGTGAATACAAGTAGTTCGTAAGAAGCTTTGCACCTATATATTGCGTACAAGAAAGCTTGTTAACTCCATGTGAATTGACGTCCACAAGCACACTGCATAAATGATGAAAAATGAAATTCACTCAGATTTCAAGACGAAACAGTATGACAATGGTAAAGCTTCGGGTAACAAGAACAATATACACACTTTCCGTTTCCTAAACTTCGAAGTGACCAGAAAAACAATATTTCAGGTAGTGAAATCAGATAGAAAATATATCAAACACAAAAATGTTTCACCATAATAATAACAAGGAATCAATAACACTTACAGGGTAACCTCTAGTAATAGGCTGTCGTATAGCGAATACTAACAATTTGGCTAATATACATGTGGCCGGAGGAATGGGATTATCGGGATCAGTAATTAAATCACCAGGAATTAAAGCTTGAAATGGATCTATGTCCGCCAACATTAATGCCACCTGATCACCGGCGAATGCAAATTTTACCACCTGATCTAACAGTTTTCCGCCAAGATCACCTGATATGATTAGAATAAAATAAGGTTTTCATGTGGTTATATGTTTATCTATTTTTTACGCTTACAAGTACAGGAAAAAGTTGACTGTCTCAAAGTTTAAAATTCACTGCATAATTTAGATACACAATGACTACTGGATTTACGTTTCACTAGATAACATGTAAACAAGAATTAACATAAAATATGGAAAATAGACTATAAACACGCCAGAAAATGTTTGAATTTTCTGACTATTCCTCTCCTTTATACCGCCCATTTTCCCGTTCCCCTATAGATTTTGATAACTTTAGTTTCAAGATATCTCTTTCATGTACTTTCATTAAATGTGGAAGTTTGAAATGACGCTCACTCATGCGAAGTCGTAAAACTCTATCAGGAGGCCGCTTAATAAGCCTGCCGCACTATAATACAAGATTTATGTTGATTCTGCATCTAAAGTCATGTATCTGAAATGTCAGATAAAATGTATCTCTACCTCTCTGCCGCGCCGGCTTCAGAACCTCGATCAGTTGACGGTAAACTCATCCTTAATTGTGTACGGGCTGAAATATGTCGGTTCATAGGTAGGTAAAGTACCGTCTTTCTGGCCGACTACTTATTCTCCCTTAACCTGCCAACCTTACAGTACTTAAACAACTGTTAATGGGGATTAGTGCAGCTCTGCCTGTAGCGCTTAGGGCGACACTGATACCAACTATGTCGAATGCTGACGCCACAGGGTCTCCGGATAAGCACAGGTATTACACCCTATTTGAATTTCTAGATGGAGAAGGTATTCGAAGTATTTAACTGGGATCTTGATAATGAGGTTTCCTGGTGTTTTGGCGAGACCTACCTGTTTTCCGACCTGCCTCAGTGTGCGAAGATTGTAGGTGGCAAACTTGAAATCAACACATGGTTTCAGGAAACCCGTGTTAGATATCGTGCACTGGGGATCAACATTTGGAAGGCAACTCACTAACAACTCAAAACGGCATAGATACCTAAATTACTACGTTTAGTTAAGTCGGCAGTCGTCCTAAAATGTTTCGAAGATGGGACACTTGCATTTACTATAGACTTCAAAACAGAAGAGTAAATGGATATTAGGAATGATTGATGACAAACTTGGGAATGTCATTTGTGATGTCACAGTGGGAACAGTGATGAGGCCACAATAGAAGAACCAACTACAACGGCGTATGCCTCCCGATAACACGACAACCAGCATTTTCCCACCAGATACATTCGGAATGCACCCGGAGAAGCCATGAGAGCTTCTGATAACAATGATCCACCCGCTTAACTTCCGTCAGATATACGCAGGAAACACTATGCACCGGCTGATTTCCTTCCAAAAGGGTTAGGTGATACTGGGAACAATATATATATATTGTCAATTGGCTCTGTTTTCTTAAAATCACACCGACTATCACATCATCGTTATTGTTATATTACTTTCATTACGTACTGGGAGACAAACTTGTGAATACATGTCTGTTGTTCATTGTGCGTTGTCTCTCAATCCGCGATCACTGTGGACTTACAAGTCGTGCGATAAAAACAAATAAATTTAAGCAAAATCATAAAACTTAAGTGCTTGAAGTCAACAGCACACAGCTTATTGAAAAAATATAGTGAAAATCTGTGAAATTTTTCTTAAATCACTTCAAACTAACCTTCAGCAGTATCCGTTAGACCTGAACGTGAATTACACAAAGATCTAATCGACTTAACACAGGCACGCACATCACTGGGGAGACAGATTACTCTACTTGTGGGTAGATTCACACCAGCGGAAACAGCCCCTGAAACAACACGACCAACAACAGCCGGTATGCTTGAGCCAGCCGGTTTGAATATATCACTGACAACAAAACGAAATGGTCCGTTAACAGTTCTTTCAGGTGATGGGATTGAATCTAGGCATGAAAAGCGTTTATAGTTGAACAAGAAACAGTAAGTGCTGTAATAAACACTTAAACTAGAATTCAAAAACGATGTCAGCTAATATGTTAAAAGAAATATTTAGTGAAAATAACATGACTCAGTGGTGTGGGAATAGACGCAGAAATTCGCTCAGAACAACAGAAGAACGAGATTGAGACATACAGAACAGTATCATAACAACCAGTGGAAACCTTCAGGATGTGACATGGACAACAACTTTGAGTCATGCTGCAGGATAGCAGCTAAGTCTACATCTAATAATGTCGTCCCCATGAACTGAATGGTCAAATGGTTTTGTTATCCACCGCCATCGAACTGCTCTCTTTATCCTCCTTCTACAGATAACGAGTGCATAAAACACTGAAGCCAATTAGAAAGTCGTCGCCCAGACCAGGATTGGAAGTTATGGCCTTGGAGTATCCTGGGTTCTAGAAGTCATAATAAACTCATTCCTAAGCATGTTCATTAGCAGACCGTTTCCACATCAGTAGTATATATATATATATATATATATATATATATATATATATATATATATATATATATATATAACGAGCTTTTAACTGTTTTTCAGTCAATCCATGCAGATATGCACACTGAAACTACCTTCGCCATATAAATTTAGAAATACATCATACATGCAACCAGTTGCTAGTTGTAATCCATTATCACTGGCCTCCTGGAATCAAGAATGGTCCATAGTTTATTTTGTTCACTGATGTTTTAGTTTTGGGTGAGTCGCATTAGAAAAAATAGACAGCAATAGCTAGACAAACTCACTGGCTTCACTTACCAATAAGATCTAATAAGCAGGGTCCTGAATACCATTGAAACAGTTTTGAACTGGACTCAGATGAATTTTTACAACTAGTTATATCTTGCGGTACTAAATTTGTTCCGATTAGTCCTGATACGGGACAAAATACCACTCCGGAAAAATTCATCGATTTTAAAAAACCGGATACTTGTGACTGAATTTCATCATATCGTGACTGACACCAGTCTACTGTGTCCATTTTGTTCACTGCGACAATTAAACGAGAAACCCCAAGCAAACGAGCTAATCTAGCATGTTCCCTTGTCTGTCCACCAGTACCGATACCAGTTTCAAATTCACCTCGAGTAGCATTGATCACTAGCAGAGCAGCATCAGCTTGTGTAGCACCTCCGATTACTTGTGGGACGAAGTCTTTATGTCCCGGAGCATCCATTAAAGCAACCTTGGTAAGTAAAAACAAGTACCAATCAGACACGAACCTCGTTGTCAATATCAATTGCAGTACATGAATTAGGAAGCACACCAAGCTACTCCTAAGGGTGATTCCATCTACAACTGCTGGGCCGTATCACCCTAACACACATATGAACAAGAGGAAATGAGACAGCATTGCAGATGGATAAAGGTGAGCAAAAATGAAAAAAATACAGACAGAAAACAATAAAAGACTTCTGAAAATGAAGGAAGGAAACGTGTCTGAACTGATGAATAATTATATCTGGTGTGCCTTAGAATATCTAAGTTTATAACAACTAGTTATACCTGCCGAAAATCCTCATTGCCACGATGCTTAACTTCACTACAAATTTACCAATCAAAGTGACCTTACCCTCTTATAAACTGACCTGCTGCCAAAAAAAGCAGAGTATATAGTCCTATCACGCCGACAAAACGGAGTCTTTTGTAAATCCTGAGGAAAAATGTATGTTTTGCATGCAGTTTACATTTCTTAAATGTATGATGCTGCATGACTGGCCTACAATGGTTCCTACTTTGAGGATAGAGAGTACAATGATTGAATGTTTCCATAACTTGATTTCATAAGGAAGTTGCATCATACTAAATGCACTTGTTGCTGATGAAATCTCAGGTTGGACACAAGAGTTTCGTTTTGCAAACGAAGGTCCACTTAGGGGCAGTAAAGATATCTGGCTAGTCATTATCGAAGTGTATGTGATGTGTAGCAGTTTAACTGCGAACTTTGATTCTAAAGTAACCTGGTGATGATACATCAGATTTTCAAATGACATCACAGAAGGGTTAAATATGTTAATGAAGAAGGTTATAAGATACGATTCACTGACCAAAGAGTCAGAATCAATGTTTTTGAGACAGACAGCTATAGACTGGTCATTTACAGGAATATAATTTTTGGCAAATTGAAAGTTTGCTCCTTATGTTCACAGCACGACAAACATCTTATTAGGGAGGTTATGTGAGAAATACACAAAGAAATATCAACTATTTTGCTATTGAATATTCTTCACACACGATAGTATAACGCAGGAATAAAGCAAGATTTTCAAATATCAATACCTGATATCAAATAAATGTAGTGTGTCTCCTTCTAACTTTATCTACTTCTTCCCAAAATGATATAAATCTTTTAATAATACTGAGAAGAGAAATTGTGAAAATAAGACTCACAGATATAAACACTAGAATTTCAACCATAGGTTTCGAATGTCAGTCCCTATCCACTTAAATCAGCTTGGAAAACTGAGATAATTAACCTTCACGCGATAAGTTTAGCTCATAATCTGGTACATGAAGATCTGTTCCAAGTGACTGAATTCTGACTGACTGAGTCTTTAATGAAGAACTCTTCACAAAAGTGCAGCAGTCCAACTTACCACATAGCACACAAAGGTAGCAAAAATAATAACTAAAAATTCAAAGGAACTATAGTAAGCAGAATTCTGTGGGAGATAGAATAAGTACACAGGAAATAATGAGAATCTAATAAATCCACGAATCATCACTCGAATTATCAAAATTAAATGAGGAAGTACAACAAGAAATACGTCAATGTATCATATTTATAATTAAACAGAAAAGACATAATTCCCAACTTAGCAAAATGCATTGAAGAAATTGAAGAATAGAAAAGATATAGTTTATTTATTTTTATTTTTGATTTACAGCTTGATTCCACACTGTATTTTTGGTACAAGTATGGAATTGTCAGCATGGATATCGGTAGCCCAAATTTTGCAGGCCGACCATAGATATCAGATGTGCGTCGGTGCGGGCTCGAACCCCGGACCATGTGCATGGTCGGCGAGAGTCCTAACCACTGTGCCACCGACGCACAGTTATTCTACCGGTTGATAATAGAAGAACAACAGTAATCCTGGACACAGAAGACTACATAAAGAAAGCAGAGGATTTACTCAAAGATGATAATGTATATCAACAGTTGACGAAAAACCCTATACAAACATTAGATAACAACATAAAAACAACGTTAAATAATCAGGACAAATTACAAAACAAGATTAATTGCGAATGAAATCTAACGGACCTATTTTACCTCGATTCTATAGTAAACCAAAACTACACAAACCAAACATTCCCTTGCGACCAATTGCTTCACATCCAGGAACACCAACATATAACCTACCTAAAGAACTTTTCAGGAAATTAAATTACCCAACAGAATCATGCAACCAATATGTCAATTCGTCAATCCAATTTTTAGAGCAAATCAAAAACATTCAAGTAGATGACTATGCAATAATGGTGTCCTTTGATGTCACAGCATTATATACTTCAGTTAGTCCAAAACTAGCAACAGAAACTATGCAACAATTACTCTATAGTGAAAACATAAAAACGCAATGTTCAACTTGGATAGAATTCATAGAATTACGCCTTACAACATACTTCCAATTCAATACTCAAATATATGAACAGATAAAAGGAACACTAATGGAATCAATAGCTGAAGCCATCATGCAAAGACCAGGATTAATGGCTCTACTAATAATTAAACCGAAAATCTGGGTACGTTACGTTGATGATACATTTGTAATAATTAAAAGAAATGATTCGGAATATACCCAAGTTAATAAACAACATATTTGAAGACATCAAATTCACAGGGGAAGAATTATACAACAAAATTCAATTTTTAGATGTCTTTATCAGGTGAACCGACACAGGAAATTTAGAAACACAGGTATACAGAAAATCAACGCACACAGATCAAATACTCAACTATACTAGAAATAATCCAATTACTCACAAAAGAAACTGTGTATAGACATTCTTTAAAAGAATTCAAACGCACTGTAACACACCAGAGTTGAAAAGAATGGAAGAAAAATACTTACAAACGGTCTTCAAGAAGAATGGTTATCCACAAAATTTCATCAAAAAGTGTTTAAAATCGAATCACAACACCAACAAGGAACCATAGTCAAATACAAAAAAAATTCATCCTACCATACATAAAAAATATCTCTGAAGTAACAGCTAAAATATTGAAACCGTTTGATATAGATACAGCCCACAAGCCAGTCGAAACACTTAATTCGATATTATGCAAACCGAAAGATCCAACAGAAAAAGGAGATAAAATTAATACAATTTACAAAATAAATTGTATGAACTGTAACAGGCATCACATCGGCCAAAGTGAGCGTTCCCCTCGAATCAGAATCCAGGAACACAAATCAGCCGTGAAAAGACATAATATGTATTCTTTCATATCAATGCATATCTGTCTGTCTGTCTGTTTTCGACATAGAACTTTGCACCAGTGTGCAGCAGTTCAAGTCGCCACACTCCGTGTAGCACGCGAAGCAAGAGAAGAAAGTACAAGAAAAGCATAATAGAGACAGTAAGCAGAGGTGTGAGACAAAGGAATAGTAATGACGAAGAACAATATAGTTTCATTGGAAATCATAAGTCACAAGGAGTGGATGCATCTGCGCCAGTGAGTGAGAACGATTTTGAGCCATGTCACCAATTGTTTCCAACCATAGATTTTTACCGTCCCGATGACCCCAACCAGTCAGGAAGTCTACACCTTCCTACGTGGCTTAGACCAACTGTTGTGGATTTCATTGACTGGTGAGGCCAAGTTTTTGTTTGACCGCCGCTAGCTTTTTTCCAGTCTGACCCTATATCCGCTAACATTGCTCATCGAGGGAGGCGATGGCTTGGCATACGTAACACATGTCCTAACCATCTCAGTCTTTGTAGCTTCACGACTTCGTCGATTGATTTCCGCTGTTTACCTAGAACTCTACGCCTAACTTCAATGTTGCTCACCTTATTATGCCACTTTACACGGGAAATAGAGCACAGGCACCTATGATCAAAGACAGCTAGTCTTTTCATGTCTTCCACTCTCAGTGGCCAGGTCTCACAACCATAAAGGAGGACGGAGCGGACTGATGAGCAGTACACCCGCCCTTTGGTCGATAGTCGAACATCTCGTCTACGCCAGAGTCGGCGTAAACTGGCAAATGCGAAACGAGCCCCCTGTATTCGTGCTGAGATTTCGTCAGAGATCAACCCGTTGGCACTGGCTGATGGTACTTCCCAAATAAGTGAAGCGGTCAACGTCCTCTACCACTTCACTTCCTATTTTTAAACTAGGCATCGATGTAGTCCAGTCCTGTAACATCATCTTGCATTTGGTGGGAGCGAATCGCATGCCAAACATTCGTAGATTTAGGCTCAAGGTGTTTAGAAGACTCTGCATTTCGTCAGCGTCTTCGCCTAGAAGGACTATATCGTCTGCATATTCCAAGTAAACGAGATTATTCCCTGGTAGCAAGTCAATCCCTGAGTTTAATAAGGTAAGTAATGTTGACGTTAGGCGTAGAGTGTTGGGTAAAGAGGGAAAATCAATCGACGAGGCTATAAAGTTACATAGACTAAGATGGCTAGGTCACGTGCTGCGCATGCCTAACCACCGCCTCCCCCGACGGGCATTGCTAGCTGAAATAGATGCGGGTTGGAAAAGAGCCAGTGGTGGCCAAACAAAACCATGGCCTCATCAATCCATGAAATCCTTGACAGTTAAACTGAGTCAGGTAGGGAGATGCAGACTCCCGGGTTGGGGCCCTCGGGACTGGCTCTACGAATCAATGGCTGGAGACAATAGGTGACATGGCTCAAAATCGTTGTCAATGGCCAGCGCAGATGTATTCAGTCTCTGTAATCTTTCATATTCCTTTCTACCATTACCCATTCCGTTTCACTCTTATACTTGTCAGACTGTATTGATTCTCTTCATTCATCTTCTTGTCTACCTCTGTGTGCTATTTGGAACGTGGCAACTCGAACAGCTGCACTTCGGTGCCAAGTTCTATGTTGAATCCAGACAGACAGACAGACAATCCCTGAGTCGCTGAAGTCACTTAGGGTTAAGTCCATTAACACATCTATGATGAAGTTGAATAGAAAAGGGGATAATGGGCATCCTTGACGGACACCACTAGTCGTCACCAGTTGAGATGACAGCTCGCCGTAAGCTCTTACCTGGCTGCATGAGTTCGAGTAGAGTGCCTTAATCAGTGCAATATATTTTCTCGGAATTCCCTTTACAGCCAAGCATCTCCAGAGAACTTCTCGATCGACAGAGTCGAATGCTGCCTTTAGGTCAAGAAATGTAATGACTGTTGGACGCCAGTAGGAATGACTATGTTCTAGAATCTGTCGGAGGGTGAAGATATGATCAATACACCCTCTTCCTGGTCTAAAGCCTGCCTGGCTCTCTCGTGTTTGTGCCTCCCGAGCACCACTTAGTCTACGCATGATTATTGAGCCTAAGACTTTAGATACGATATTAGTCAAGCTAATCCCTCTGTGATTATCACAGGAAGACTTGTCTCCCTTCTTGTATGTGGGGATAATCAGTGACTTACACCAACCCGATGGGACTTCTTCTGATTCCCAGACGCTTCCTAGTACCTCAGCTAATGCAGACAGTAAGCTGTCTCCAATCAATGCATATAGATAATTACGGACATCAGTTCGATTGGGACTATGTCGAAATCTTATACAGAGGAAACACTTTAAGTGTCAGGGAATTCCTAGAAGCCTGGTACTCAACGAATATGCAATTAACAAACACGTTAATACAGACCAAATATACCAACTAATAAAAAGTAAATCATGTGACCACAAAGTTTAAAATCCAAGTCAATAGAAAATGATCAATACATATGTAAAGATGGGACGTGATTCTGTCACTCATGAAAAATTTAAATCATTTCACTTTCTGCTAAAAATTGCGCTGAAGATGTTGTCCAGAAGGACTACGAAAGCTCCGCAACTAAACCAGTTAGCTCAGAGAGCACTATTGATTGCAGATCCATGAATGGCAGTCACCTCTCTATCTCAACTTCATCGACTTTGAAAAGGCCTTCGACAGCGTCGATCGAGAGGTCATTTGGAAACTACTTCGCTACTACGGGTCCCATCGACAATTATACACCTCATCCAACAGTTATACGACAATGCTGCATGCCAAGTAATCCACAACGGGAAACTTACGGAAGCCTTCGAAGTGAGGACGGGAGTGAGGCAAGGCTGTCTACTATCACCAATGATCTTCCTGATTGCAATTGATTGGATAATGCGACAGACAACGGCAACCAACGAGGGAACAGGCATAAAATGGACTGACACAAAAGACTTGGAGGATCTGGATTTCGCCAATGATATATGTCTGATTTCCCATAAACTGGAAGATATGCAAGTGAAAAGTAACAAGTTGGCAGAAGAAGCATCAAAGATAGGACTTCAGGTGAACATAGATAAAACAGAGATAATGAAGATTCCTAGCCAACATCAACAGCAACAACAACAACAGACAACAATAAGCATAAATGGGAAGAACCTGAAAGAAACAACCTCCTTCACCTACCTGGGAAGCATCGTCTCAACTACAGGCGGAACTGACGAGGACATCAAAGTCAGAATCGGAAAAGCAAGACAAGCTTTCATTACTCTCAAATCTGTGTGGAGGTCAACAGCACTCAGCATCAAAAATAAGATCCGGATTTTCAACTCCAATGTGAAGTCAGTGCTACTATACGGATCAGAAACTTGACCAGCGCGTCATAAAGAGCATCTCAAACAAACTTCAAACCTTCATTAACAACTGTCTCCGCTCAATACTCAAGATCAGATGACCAGAAAAGATCAGCAACAGGGATCTCTGGGAGCGAACCAATCAGGAACCGATTGTGAAACAAATAGGCAGAAAGAAATGGAGATGGATTGGCCATACGCTGAGGAAACCATCAAGTGACATCACTAGACAAGCCCTCGAGTGGAACCCGAAAGGGAGGCGGCGAGTTGGTCGTCCAAGGGTGACTTGGAGGAGGTCATGCGAGGAGGAGATGAAAGCATGTGGACAGACCTGGAGCAGGGTGAAAAAGTTGTCAGAAAACCGAAGTCAATGGAGGTGCGCAGCTGAAGCCCTATGTTCCTCTAGGAACTAAAGGATACAATAATATAATATATAATAAATGCATCCGCATCACTGAGAATGATTTGAAGCCATATAACCAGCAGTCTTCAACTATTGGTTCCTTGTGTCTTGAGAATCGCAGCCCCGTAGCCTGCACCTTCTCATCTGGCCCAAACCAACAGTCCGGGACTTCATTGATTCAAGCCAGATTTCCCTTCAACCACGCCTAACTCTTCTCAAACTCAATCCTATTTTGGCTAACACTGCTCCACGAGGGAGACGATGGTTTGTGATGTCGATGGCCAGATATCATATCTACGCTAGATGTGACACATGCACAGCGAGCCTATTTTACCTGTGATGAAATTTCGTCAGCGATCAGCCAACTAGGTCTGATGCAAGATCACAAAATATTGTACTGGTTAACCCGCACAAACAACTCTCACGCATTTTTCAAACTAGGAGTCAAGGCAAACCAGTAATGCACAATCACCTTTCATTTGATATGGCTGAGTCAAATGCAGGACACATTTCTGCTCGAGGTGTTCAGAAGACCCTATATTTTAGCATCACCTTCGTCTAGAAAGACTACTTCACGCGAGCACATAGCCAACGATTCTCCCTCAATAACGAATCAACTCCTAAGTTGCGACGAAGTAAGGATAATTCTGGAAATCAGCCGAAAGCCCTTGGATAGGAAACAAATCTTTTTTAAGGCGTAATGTCATTTCGAGACACCTGTTCCTGTGGTCTGGACATGTGCTTTGAATTTCACTGCAGCAACTACACCGTTCATTGTCACCTAGTCCTGTGGGATGGGTTCGAAAAGCTTAAATGTGTTCAGCCCATGAAAAGGCACTATGGTTTAAATAATAGAAGAATTGGGTTAACAACTGTTGATGCACCTCGACTCAATGCGTGGGGACTGAGTAATCACGGGTTAAGAAGCGTCTATACATTTACGCGCGTACAATAAGAATATTTAAAAGACATGCGTATATGTTACTGATGGACTAACCCGTTTGGATTTCGTTTCAAAGGAAGTTTGGGCGATATCCATTGTGACACCACGACTTCTTTCCTCTGAAGTTTGATCTAGAATCCATGCATAAGCGAATGATGCTTTCCCCATCTTTTGTGCATCCCACTGATATTTAGCCAACTGTTTACCAGAAACATGTCCTAGCAGATAGAGAAGATTTCCCATAAGCGTGCTTTTTCCGGCATCCACATGACCTGTTATGTGATGGAAAAGGCATCGGCAATAGGTAACACCAAAAAAGTATTTAAACTTATCAAGGGGACAGGTGGATGAAAGCGAATGATAAGTGAAACAATTTCCGAGAAAAATGGCATCATACTTAGCTCTCAAGATAGACAATTGGAACGTTAGAAACACTTTGTGAAGCTATTTAACCTGCCTACAGTCACGCTCAACTTCTCCGGTATCCAAAAGCATCCCCCAATACTTGCGTCCCTAACTGAGGTTACAGAAGCTGTCTCTAATCTAAAACGAGGCAAAGCAGCGGAACCTGATAGAATGACTCCAGAGGTATTTAAGGACGGTGGAAAAAGTCTACTGTCTCCAGTAACTAAGGCATCAGACAGCATCTGACAATCAGAGGAATTCCTGTTGGGCTTGTGTAAGTCATTGACTATCCAGATACACAAGAAGGGAGACAAGTCTTCCTGTAGTAATCACAAGGACATTAACTTCACATATATGGTATCGAAAGTACTAGGCTGAATTATTATGCGTAGACTAGATGGCGGTTGGGAGAAAAAAACACGAGAGAATCAGATAGGCTTTAGACCAGGAAGACGGTGTATTGATTATACCTTTACTATTCGAGAATACATTAGAATAACATGGTAAGTGAGGCGATTTGTCCTGATACATGCCACATGTTGCACTAGCTTTCCTTGGCCATCAGAAGACTTATCTGAGAGTATACAGGTGTTTTTGGAAAATCACACGGTGCGTTGGATAACAAACAGTTGTTTGCCAGGCAAACAATGACGACTTCAGAAATTATTCTGACCAGAATCCAGTTAGACTTATAGACCTGTGGTTTGAGGGATGATGAATAGATCTTCTATTTATTATTTCACCACAAACATTAACATCTGTCATTTTGGTACTGATTGGCCTCTTCTTTGCAACAAGTCAAACATTAGATTCCACGTGGACAAAATAAATACGCTTTAAGAATACTTGATTGTTATATGAAAGGAACATAGTTGCAAAGTGGTAAAAATCGAAAATTCATGAAAAATGAGTGGAAGTTATGTACAATTTTCCATTTGCAAGGATTCACTGAACTATTATTAAACCACGTCTTCTCACTCACATATTTCCGTTATAGTGCGAGTTTATTCTTGTTTTCATCTTTTATGAATGCTTAATCGAACTGTGGACTTCTGGAGTGCCCGATTTCCGCCCTCTTTTATCAACTAGTCAGTTCAGTAATATCCATTTTCATCGTACCGGTTACGAACTCCAACATCTCTCTCAGTAATCAATCTGCTAGAAATAACCTTGAGATTCAACAAGGCAAACTTACTCAAAAGTCAACTTCCATATAACCGTTCAACAGTTTGAAAGCAAAAAGGTGTCGACTACGGTAACCATTTTCATTCGTAAGATCAACAGAATGTATACCACTATCGGAACCACCGTGTTTGAAATGACATTTGACATTGCCAATCAGACTCTATTCAGTTAGGTGTGCACATTTATTTACCGAATGACCTAAGCAGTTACGCTGCAGATTTTGGTAACCATATTACTTACTTTACTTCGGCTATCTCCTACGGGAGGATGAGCCGGCTTCATGAACCATGAAGTTTCATGGGAATTGGGTACGAGTGATGTCCCCAGCATCGCTCGGCCTTTGTTTGAGAGTGCAGCTCTAGCCTTTACACAACCAAGTGTGACCTACAAGGCAGTAGGAGTGGAGTAGGGAGTCCACTATCCATTGGCAGCCGGTGACCGGAGTCCGGTTCATTCGCCTTTTTGAATGGGGCCAGTCATCCAGGGCATCCAATAAGCCCTTTGTCCATACGTCTGCCGGTGAGCCCCGGTGAGCTTCATACGCCAGTCGTTGGAGGTTTGGAATCAGGGTTTAGCCATCTCCCCTAGACTGTCATCCAATGGACAGTCAACCCGGTGAAGAGCGCCGGGCATCCGCTTTTGCCCTCTCACTTTGGTGAAAAACACCTCCGCCACGTGAAGGCAGTGAGTAGGACTTCCTCAGGAGAGGCTATGTAAGACGCCCGGTCATATGGGAGCATTTCAAGAGGTGTGCGGAGGGGTGGCCAACCCGCAGCGCAAGGCACCCACCCCCGACCATCCTGAGGCTTTGGAGGTAACCATATTCTTATGGGCTAGAGTTCATAGGAAGCTGATTGTATAAATTATTGAACTTACTGACACTTAGTACCTGACTGTACCGATGCTCTTGTATTATTAATAAGCCGAAATGAATAATATAATCTGTAGGTTTATGTGGATGACTTTTAAATGCTCACTATGTCAACAGCTTATTTCATCAGCTAACGACACATCGGGACCGAAAAATCTCTACTTTGGCTTGATGATTTTGAACGAAGACCGTTCTGAAACTTCAGTTATACATGCAAAAAACTGTCATATTGAAGAAGTTAATGTGGATCATGTTGTTCGTCATCAATTAACAAACTAACTATCCAGGAAAGTTTATATTTGCTTTTTCATACACGTACTCGTGAGTAAACTGTTAGAATATGACGACAGCTACTGCTTGATAACATACGATTAATGCTGCATTGAGATGTAAGGAACTCATTAAAAGGCGAAGCATCTACTTAGTACTACCCAAATAGTGGGATGGTTACTTTATGTTTGAATTTGTATGAGACATACGTTTCAGAAACCAGTACTAACTGGAGAAAATCCACTAAAAAATCATTGTAAATGAGCGGTCAAACGAAGCCACAATAATTCCATGAAACAGTCTGGCTTAAAGAAAAAGTCGCAGAGTAGGATGTTTGAAACAGCAGCTCAATACATACATCCTCTGATGGGTAACTGAATACTAGGTTTTCACTAAAAACAACAAACTTTGGAAATCGCCGAATAAGCCTTGTGCATTCATGCGAAGATCTCGTAGGCAATTAGTCCATTAGGGTTGTTGCAACCTTCTGAATAAATGCAGAACTCCACAAAGATAACGGTGACCAATTGTCACCTAGATTAACTACAGTATTACCCAACACAAATATTTATATACTTACCCATAACTATAAGGTTGATAATTTGTTTATCTCCTGATCCTTTGTGGAGTTTTGCATATTCACTTACTAGTGAATGACGATCGATCGGTTTACTGGGAGTTGCTGGAGCATTACTAACTGGAGTGCGCAAAACATTAGGACGACCGTCAGATTGACTAATTGCTAGTTTCTGTGATAGTGATAAATTTAACGTATCCAATGATTTGTCTTCATCTGTTGGACATACTTGTGTAACACAAGAACCTGCAGGGAAATTATGCATACAATATTATCAGTGACGGTATATAGATTTACATATAGTCAACGTCATCTAGGAATAATCGGTAAGACTATGTACCCGAGAGTCTCCTCCGAATGCAAATTACTCAATTCATCGACGCGAACACGACAAATATGGAGCATCAAAACTTGAACTACGTTTACCATTGGTAATATTACAGAGTATCGAATGCTTTGGAATAAAACAGACCTGTTTGTAAAATAAAATTAGATTCACACAACAATACCCAGTTCGCAAACAAAATACGTTTCACGAAATAAGGGAGGAACCTAAACCTTTCAAAATGGCTTAATTCAAACACATTTTAATGACTTAAGAAAATGTATTATATGCTTTGAATCACTGTGAGATTCTACTGCTTACTTTATTCTTCATTCATTTGGTACACTACGTTGAACAAAACACCAGTAATCTGTCTGTAATGTAGACAGTCCTTGTAAGTCGGTAAATAAAGCAGGTACTTTTGTCATGATTGCATCACAACTAGATTTTCAATTACCATTTAGAACCACGGTTGTGCAGGTGAACTACAAGAGGCAAATTATTCAAGCTTGCATCAGTATTGTCTCACACCATTTTAGCTGGGTCTCAGAGAAAGACGGAAAACTTAGACTACTTTTGATTATTTTCGCAAGTGATTACACGGCTAAAAAGAGCGTATTGACCACTTCACTTATTTGGTTGATCACTCACGAAATCTCAGCACGGATACAGAAGGCTCGTTCGACATATACCCGCCAACTCACGCGATCTCTGGTGTAGACGTGATATCCGGCTAACTATCGACCAAAGGGCGTGTGTACTGCCCTGCAGTCCGCGCCATCCTCCTTTATGGCCGTGAGTGAGACATGGGCACTGAAAGTGGAAGACATAAAAAGCCCGGATAGCTGTCTCTGATCATAGGTGTGTGCGTCCTGTTAAGTGGTACAATAAGGTGAGTAGGGAGGGAAAATCAATCGATGAGGCTGTGAAGTTACACCAATTGAGATGGTTAGCACATGTGTTACGTATGCTTAGACATCGCCTTCCTCGACGGGCAATGTTAGTTGACATAAGATGGATCAAGTTGGAAAGTAGGCAGTGGTAGTCAAGCCAAAACATGGCCTCATCAGTCCATGAAATCCACAACAGTTAGTTTAGGGCCAGGAATGTCAGGGTTTTACACTTCCTTAGTGGTTGGGGTCCTAGGTATGGTGAAAACCAATGGCTAGAGACAATCGGTGATTTCGCTTAAAATCATCCTGGATGATACTGCAGATAAATCCACTCCTTGTGATTTAAAACATGCAATAAGACTATGGTGTTTTTCCATGTTACTATTCTTTCGACCTCTGTTTTGAATCTCTTTTACTCTCCACTCTTACTTTGTGCTACGTAAATTGTGGCACCTCGAACTGCTGTACATCGACATAAAGCACTACGTTGGAACCAGCCAGTCAATCAGTAAGGTTTAAATCATAGGGAATGAGTTCAAAATAGGAAACCTTGAGGGAACATTAATGACAGAAACATCCAAAGACCACACAAATTGGCGGCTTGAGGTAATACACTTAATTCTATATTTATTTATTTCAATACCTGTCTTCAAAGTCAATAGTGCGCACCCAAGAAACGATGTATAGTACTGACTTCGGAACAGAATTTTTGTTGAAGCCTTTTGTTCCACTAGGAACCCAAGGGAACAATAATAAATAATCACCACCTCTTAGTGTTAATACATTGAAACCCGCCTATCGATTGGTTGATTAGGGCTGGAAATATGACAGTCATTTACACATATATGCTGGCAGAAACTATTGCATACGAATGGTTCGCTTGAGTGACATTACTAACATTCGTTCACTTATACAAAAGTTTGACTTCTGGCTCAATCGACACTCAAAAATACGAACTTCACAGTGTAGCATACCATGTGCAGTTTTACTCGAGATGCAGGGTTTATCGACTTTCATATTTGTTGACTTTGAAGACTGATGATTGAAAGTTTTAGGTTCTGGAATATCAAAAACAAACCCCGAAACAGAGTTTGTTGGGAAGAGACAGTCATATATAGTCGAACGTGTTCGAACCAGTACATAGGAAAACTTCGATAACATATCATCAAACGCATTAGATTTGTCTGCTCTATATGTTGGCATTACTAAACCAAGAAAACTAGGGGTTTTGCATCCAGCAAAAGATTCATTTGTGTTCGATTCTACTACTGGAAGTCCATGTAACATATTGTCAGAGGACTTTAGAATACTAGAACTGGTAGCAAAAAGACTAGATGTTTGTGACAACAGATGATTATAGTTTGATTTGTAGCCAGGAGTCATGCCAGCGTCGTGATCATTACGTTTGCATTTTGCAGGCTCCTGGAGAAACGGTTGTAATTTAGTAGAAGATTTGGAAGTAAGTAAATCAAGCAGGTCAAAATCCAGTTCCTCTGATTTGCTTTTATTATCAAAAATGAGACTATTCATTAACTCATTCTGCACAGCCAATTTCGCAGGTTTAAAAATATCTAAGGGTGGAATAGGAAAACAAAAAGTTGCAACTTACTAGAATCGAAAAGATCACTGTGGCCAAACACGTCATCGACAGTCTGTTTACTGTTCTTCAGATTTTTACTTTCCACATTATTGTGATTTGAGAAGTCAAATGTTTGTTGCGATGAAATTCGTCCAGATACGTCACCGGGAGAATCTTTAGTACCAACATTAGTGGTTTAAATGGGTAAAAACTGACTCACCTGGTAAGATTTTTCCAGCTTCATTAACAGGGAAGTCCTCTGCTGTAAAACTGAGAGGCTCGTTATTTGTCACCGGGAATATCGGTATGTCTTGTTTGAATCCACGATTCGGATTATAAATATATCTTTCTGTTGTATTCGGAGATACTGTGTAATCATCGTCTACTGAACTGGCTAGCACTTCATCGTATGTGTCGACGTCTAATCAGTTTCATAGGAAATTGAACTACACTTACCGTCATCACACAAAGCTCGTATGTTTCTGTGTCTCGACATGTACCGCAAAATTCGTAATGCGTACTTTGCAAGTTGGTTCAGTCTAGTTCTGCAAATATGTTTTTGGACGCCCACAGAATGCTTGTGGTCTATGTCATCCCGTGTGGAGTCCTCAAAAATAAACTTATCCAATTTTTACTACTATGTAAGAAATGAACATATTGTACATCACTTTGTTTTAACCATAAACTCTGTACTTTGAACTTCATCTCGGGTTTTGAATGAAAATGTAGTTCTGCCTCCCACCCTCCGTCTTCTCCACCATCTCGACTGCCGTCGATCAATTCCAATCACCTACTTTCCATCTCAAATTTTTGCAGGAGCACCGTAGTTTCTTCCTACGTACTTTGGTCGACCTCCGGCAACGTCAACATTGGAGAATTAGTACTGCAGCAGTCTTCCCGCAGCACCTCTGGAGTCTATTACGTTTATTAAGGCTTTTGGATCTTTTTAAACCCAAGTAACGAAACTTTAATATATTCTTCCCGTAACTAAACTGATTTGGTGTTTTATTTTCTATTTGAATTTGGGATACTACGCTAACAGAGTAAAAGGTCCACCCCAATAATTGGTGAGCCCGTTTTCGAACCTTTTTTTCAATAGTTAACTCGTTTTGGACATTCTTGTTGCTATTTTGGCCTTATAAACTCGCACTGCTTTAATTTTTGTTACCACACGTTCTGCTATTTTGTATATCTCTATACTTAAATATTTTTTTGACAATGGCTCCATCTAAACGTACCACTGTTTCTGAAGAAGGTAGTACAGGCGAAGAGACACAGGACTCTTCCGTTAACGCCTTGCCGGATTTGAGACTACCTCAATTTGATCTGGCTGAACCACGTGTCTGGTTCACAATCATTAGACAGTTGTTTGCAGCTCGGGGAATTATGTCGCAGATTGCCAAGTATGGTTGCGTATTAGCAGCAATACCCACGGAAGTACTCCGAGAGGTTATCGATGTCATAGACAGCAAACTTACAGGCTCTGAATATGACAAACTAAAAGCTGCACTCATCCAGCGGACCACCCTCTCCGATAAGAAACGCATACAACAACTAATAGGTACAAAAAAGCCATCTCAACTACTTAGACATATGCGTCAGTTGATTGGATCACACAAAGGAGATGAGTTAATTCTACGTCAGATGTTTTCCCAACGTTTACCACAAAACGTTCAACAAATCCTAACGATATCTTCTGGGACGACTGACCTTGAAGAACTAGCTAAGATGGCAGATGATATCATGGATGTGTTATCATATAATGGCATAAATAAATCGTTTTTTTTGTTTTTTTGATTGCAGCTTGATTCCACACTGTATTTTTGGTACAAGTATGGAATTGTCAGCATGGATATCGGTAGCCCAAATTTTGCAGGCCGACCATAGATATCAGGTGTACGCCGGCGTGGGCTCGAACCCCGGACCATATGCATGGTCGGCGAGAGTCCTAACCACTGTGCCACCGACGCACAAAGTTTGGTTTGTACAAGGTGAGATTATCTATCTCATTGTAGGCAAGTAGAAAACCAACAAAATAACCTATTTTCTTATTTTTGAGCCACCATGAACATAATTGCATGGCAGCTACAGAGGCAGTACCACCAAGCCCTTCTACATCTATGAAGGACGCACCAATGTTTTGGTTACTTTCCCAGTTAACATCTCAAATGCAAGACTTACGACTGGAAGTGTCTGAGCTTCGAGCACAAAGGAACCAGTCACATACGGTATCCAAGCAACGGCGATCAAGATCTAGACGACGTTCTAGAACACCGTCTCAAAGCCGTAACATTTGTTGGTATCATAGGAGGTATGGGCATAATGCCCTGAAGTGTGTTCGACCGTGCATATACAACAGTGGTAACTCAACTCAGGGAAACTCCCCAGCCAGACAGTAATGGCGACGGCTGTTACTGGCAATCACCCCAGTCGCCTTTTCTATGTGAGGGATTTGACTACCGGCACATTATTCCTGGTAGATACAGGCGCCGAGGTCAGTGTTATTCCCCCCTCACTATCCAGGCGATCAGCCAAAATACCTGGAAACTTTCACTCCGTGCTGCCAACCAAACCAACATACAGACGTATGGCGAACAGTCAATGATTTTAAACTTAGGACTACGCCGACGTTTCACATGGATCTTCATAGTAGCTGACGTACGTCACGCTATACTAGGTGCAGACTTCCTAAGTCACTTCAATCTGTTAGTTGATATCAGCAAGAAAAAACTGGTTGACAATTGCACCCAACTCAAGATCCACGGTATTACATGTGACTACTCTGTTCATAGCATCTGTATAGAAAAGCCGGAGAGTGAAATGTTCTCTGCTTTATTGCAACGATTTCCTAAAATCCTTAAACCATCATACAACGTCGAAGATATATCTCATACAGTTACGCATAAGATCATCACAACAGGACAACCTGTGAAGGCACGTCCACGACGGTTACCACCCGATAAACTAGCAGCAGCTAAGTCGGAATTCGAACATATGATGCAGCTAGGCATCATACGACCATCTAACAGTCCATGGTCTTCACCTTTGCATATGGTACCTAAAACTAATCACGACTGGCGACCATGTGGAGATTATCGCGCTTTGAATAACGCTACGGTCCCAGACCGTTATCCTATACCTCATCTCCACGACTTCTCCTTGACCTTACATGGAAAGACCATTTTTACTAAAGTTGACTTGGTCAGGGCATATCATCAAATACCAGTCGCTCCAGAAGACATTGCAAAAACAGCAATTATCACGCCTTTTGGATTATTCGAATTCTTGAGAATGCCTTTCGGACTAAAGAATGCTGCTCAAACATTTCAGCGTTTTATGGACCAAGTTACCCAAGGTCTTGATTTCGTCTTTGTATATATCGACGATGTCTTAATTGCCAGCTCATCGATGGAAGAACATATGGAACACTTAAGCCTGTTATTTCAAAGGTTTGAACAATTTGGAGTTGTTATCAATCCAAAGAAATGTATTTTTGGTTCCCCTTCCATTGAATTCTTAGGACATCGAATAACTGCCGAAGGCATCAGACCTACCGAAGATAAGATAAAAACTATTAAGAACTTTCCCGAACCTGATTCCTTAAAGAAACTTAGACGTTTTCTCGGGATGTTCAACTTCTACCGACGTTTTATTCCATCATGTGCCTCCATAGTTCAGCCACTGACCGACCTACTTAGATGCAATTCGAAGAAATTTCAGTGGTCTGAAGAAGCAAAAGCAGCATTTAATAATGCAAAAGATGCCTTATCCAACGTTGTAATGTTATCTCACATCAACCCAGAAGCTTCACTCATTTATGTACAGATGCATCGCAGGTAGCAGTGGGAGCAGTTTTACAACAAAAGTTCAATAATGACACCACTCCACTTGCTTTCTTCTCCAAGAAATTGGAACCTGCGCAAACTCGTTACAGCACTTTTGGCAGAGAACTGTTAGCCATCTACCTAGCAGTGAAACATTTCAGCTTCTTACTACAAGGTCGACATTTTACTATCTTAACCGACCATAAGCCTCTTTGTTATGCTTTCACCACTTCGTTGGACAGACACTCTCCGAGAGAAGCCAGACAACTGGATTACATCTCACAATTCTCAACAGACATCCAGTTCATCAAAGGAGATTCCAATATCGTAGCCGATTCTTTGTCTCGATGTGACGTTAATCACCTATCTTCGATAGATATTAGCTTAGACAATATTGCCAAGCTGCAGAAAAATGACGCCGAACTCCATACTTGTAGACGAAACTCCTCCCTACAGTTGCAGGATGTACCTATTCCCCTGTCTGATACAACTATCGTCTGCGACGTTTCAACGGGCGTTCATAGACCTTTTGTTCCACTAAGTTGTCGAAAACCTTTGTTTGAACATCTACATTCATTGTCTCATCCTGGAGTGCGTGCTACGGTCAAGTTAATCAGCGAGCGTTTTGTTTGGCCCAAGATGAACTCCGATATTCGGAAATGGGCCCGCCAATGCTTGCAATGTCAAAGATCCAAGGTACATCATCATACCGTCACACCTCCAAAACAGTTCAATTTACCGGATAAACGATTTCAACACGTTCATATAGATATTATTGGACCATTACCGCCATCCAGAGGATTTACTCATATACTTACTGCGATTGATCGATTTACCCGATGGGCTATTGCTTGTCCACTCAACGATATATCTGCAGAAAATATCGCTTTGGTTTTCTTAGATCGTTGGGTGTCAAACTACGGAGTACCCACAACTATTACAACAGACCGAGGAGCTCAATTTCAATCAACTCTGTTTCGAGAGTTTACGAGACTCCTTGGAGTGAACCATATCTCCACTACAGCTTATCATCCTGCAGCGAATGGTCTGGTGGAACGTTTCCATCGACAACTGAAAAGCTCCTTAATGGCACAAGCTGACTCATCTAAGTGGAGTGAACACCTACCATTAGTTCTTCTCAGTATCCGATCAACTGTAAAAGAAGATTTGGGATGTACACCAGCTCAACTTGTGTATGGTACTACCCTCACATTGCCTGGTCAGTTAGTTCCGTCTAATGATTCAACTGAAGTAAATATCTCCGACTTCACCAACCGCCTTACCCAGCAATGCTCCAGCTTCGACCAGTAGCCCCTCGCCAATCACTTCAGAAAGCTCAAGTTAATAAGAATCTACTCACTAGCAAATTTGTATTTGTTCGCGTCGATGCCATTAGAAAAGGTTTACAACATCCATATGAAGGTCCTTTTCTAGTACTTAAACGCACCGATAAATACTTCACGCTGAACAAACATGGTAAACCGGAGACTGTTTCTATTGATCGTCTTAAACCAGCGTACACCGACAGCGAATATGAAACACTAGCAACGCCGCACCAATAAACAATGAGAAAGTCAATGCAACTCCAACTCTCCCTCTTCACACTTCCCCCTGTACAGACACGCAATAAACCTGCCCGCTATGTTCATTTTATTGACTGACATAAAAAAAGTACGTTAACCTCATTTAGACATTCTTCTCATTACTATTGTTGTCG